CATATCAGATTACATTTTCTGAAAAGCATACTCACAAAGAGTCTATTGTTAGCTTCACTTGAGGATCTCTTGGACTTCTGTTTCCAAAAATATCAGGACATAATGTTTTGACTGTGTGATGGATATCTATTGTTGTTTTTGCCAATTCATTGTTATAGTAACAACTGTGGAGGAAAAGAGCTGTACATAGTTCTAAAAAAAAGTTTTGTGATAATAATATTTTTCAAAACACTATCTAAGTTTACGTCAAAGAAGCGGAATCACATTTATATTGATCAATATCCATCTACCCAAATCTTGTTCAGATATCAAATACTGTTTTATTTTGGTCCTTCATTGAATTATGTAAACTCGTTTGGAATTTTTGCATAACTGAAAGCAGTTTATGAATTTAGAGATCGTTATAGCCCATGGTGATAAATTTTATGGAGGGCATGAAGTATTACTATAGAATCTTTTCAACAGTGGTCACTTTGAAGAAGAAAAGTTGCTTTACCTTATACTAACATTCTGCTCAATTTTAGGTTTTCCATCTCACCAGATGCCACAAGAATTGAAGAGAAATCATCATTAAGAAAAATCAATGAATCTTTTTGTTAGTATGGTTGAAAGGTTTTAGAGTTCGTCTTCAGCATGATTGCGATTCAAGATATCTTTTAAACAGTGATAGCAATAAAATATTTCATTTTATGAACACGAATTGTAGAGGAACATAAAATGACCACTGCATTCGCTTTTACTCACCTCAAGATTCATCTAATAACTCGTTAGAAATCCTACTACTTCACTGAAAATAAATCAGATAATGAACCTATAGATTCGACTTTATGATGGAATAGGCCGATACTTGATGAAAATCCATAATGTATTCAAGTACCACTTTATCGTGAGATTTTTACTCGACACAGGAGAAAACTGCAAGTGAAAATATCACAAGAAAGTGTTACTTGACTGAAATGAAATGGATTTTCTGCCAAAAAGAACACTTTTCATTAATGGTAATGAGGAACTGTGTGAATGATACGTTTATCAAGTCTATATACATGACGTTCAGTACTGACCAACAAACTTATTTTGAAATTAATATAATCCGTCGGATGGAAAATCCATTTGCTTTGGATCATGCAAACAAGGGAATCTCAACTACCCTTTTTCAAAAAAAACATATCATTCCAAAAAACATGGCAGTACACCATCGTTATTTACAGCCATCTTGTACCCTTTTGATGGTTGTATTATAACGTGTTATTCCAACATTTGTTTCAATATTCCAACAGATGAAAAATTCTGATAGTACTTGATAAGCATACTTTCTAAAGCAGAATCTTCCTGGAATAGGGTAATTCTCACTCATTTTCCATTCCAGATACGAAATCGGCACGTAAGTTTGAGAATAATCGCGCAAAAAATTCTCCAGAAAAATCCATTACGTGGCTTCGTGTGACGTCACCAGATATATAGAATGCGGAGCTGGCTATCACCCACCATTGATAATAATAATATAATAATATGTCTTTATTCATCATAATAATAAGTACAAATTAAATAAAATTCAAAGAAATGATGAATAGGCGGAGTTCAGCAATGAGAGCTGCTTTTAAACCCAACCTCGATTGGTAGGTATGTATTTTTATTATTTTTTATAATATTTGGATATGTGAGAAATTGCCAAATTTTTTTTGCATATGTCGTGCCCTATCACTGTCGTGCAAGAAACATGTCTTTCAACCTTTTCTTAAAGTTTCCCATTGAAGTTTCTTTAAAGTCTGTAGGGATGGTGTTATACAACTTTGCCGCATTGTAGCAGAAACTTCGAGTAAACATTGCTGTGGAATGCCTGGGAATGAGCAAAGTATGCCTGTTACGAGAAGTACCACTGTGTGATAGTGCAACCAGTCTTTCACGTAAGTAAGGCGGATATCCCGAAACAAGAATTCTATGCGTGAAACTAAGCAAATGGATTGCTCTCAGATATTTGAGTGAAAGCCAGCCAGAATCTCGAAAGGACGGACTTATGTGATAATACTTTCGGATACCGTAGGAAAATCTAACAACAAGCCCAGTTTTTTACATTCATTCACAACAGGAATTATGTTATTGTTGACATATTTTCATAAGCGAGTGAAATATCTTTAAAGCTGAATGAACTATACAAATGAGTTTCATCGGCGTAGTGATGTATTCACCAAAAATAACAAATTCATGAAAGTCACTGATATAAATTGCAAACAGGAGCGGTCCCAGAACTGAACCTTGCGGTACACCAAATTTGTTTAATATTATTGTTGATTGGTTAACATCAAGGTGAGTTGATTGGGTCCTTTCGGAGAGATAGCTATTCATAATTGACACTACATTATGGGCGAAACCAAAGCACTTAGATTTTATGAACAATAAAGAAGGATCCAAGGTATCGAATGCCTTACTGTAATCAAGCATTAAGAGACATGTGAAATTTCCTTCATCAAGTGATTTGAATATGTCAGTGACGAATCTCGTCACTGACGAGTCGTTTCAGACGTTTTTGAGTGACCCTGAAATACACCAAATAAAATATTTTCAACTATTCCAGAAATTCAAAAGTGAAGCTGCAAATACCAGGAGTTTGTAAAAAATCCAGTTCGTTTGCGAGGATCATTTTATGTATACAGTGCAGATGTTCACCGTGAACGTCTTAGCAATATCGTAATCTCAAATAAAAATGTCTTCTAACATTATTTAACATATCAGGCGTGACCGCCCTGATCGCAAGCGTTATTCGTTCTTTTAAGTCATCAAATCTGAAGGTTTAGATGTGTACACATTGCTCTTTACATATCCTTATAAAAAATCTAGTTATGAAAGATCGGGTGATCTCGCTGGCCATTCAATCGGTCCTCGCTTCCCTATCCACCGATTGGGAAATTTTTCATCAAGGTATTGCCAGACATCAACTTGGTAATATAGTGGTGCTCCATCCTGCTGAAACCATATCGTATTCACTGGAACTTGAAGGTTTTCTGGATCAGGATATAAATTTGCTGAACTTGGAATGACATCATTTTGAATTAGTGCCAAATAATTATCATCATTAAAGTTGCCCTCGAAGAAAAAGGAGAAAAAGGACCATTGATATAGTTTCCTACAATCCCTGTCCAAGTATTAACCTTTTGAGGGTATTGCGTGTGACGATTATCCGTTGACCAGTAGTGGCAGCATGACCGTTAAGAGAAAAACTACACTCCTAATTGGATGATATTGTTATCCAACATGTCCATCATTTGCTCACAAAAATATGTTCTTCTATCAAAATCATCTTCCATGAGCTCCGGAGTTAGTATCATTTTATAGTGACGCATTTTATTTTCTTTTAATATGTTTACTATCGATGTATGGCTAACATTCAATAAAGTGGATACCTATCTACTCGATGTTTGTGGGTATTCCTCAAACTCAAGCATCACATCTAATTTGAGTTCATCACTGATTGCATTGGCATCTGCTTTTTTTATCTGCCCCACATGACCAAGCTCGCGAAACTGCTTCTCTATTTTGCTTATTGTTCCTTGAGGTATAGGCGATAAATCAGGAAAATTCTCATGAAATAGGCAAGCTAGTTCCTGTTGTGTTCGGGTTTTATCTCCGTAACCAATCATTTGTAAAACTGTTATTTTATGCATTTCTGTTAATCTAACCATTTGTCAGACTTGAAGTTAACGAACTTTAAACAAAAATTAAAATACTAACAACTAATGTTGTAACATACAAAACAAGTTGACAAGGCATTTTAAACTATAGTTTAACATAACAATGCCATGGAAATTATTTACAGTTTTTCAAAGGATACCACCTAAAAAGAACATTGCTATGGTTTTTGCTTACTTTCTTATCATCAATACCTCAACATGAAATAAGTCTTGAGTATATTGCAATAAGTTTTGAGTGTATTTTATGGAACTTGGTCACCACAGGATTTTAATTTATTTTATTTCAATTGTTGCAGTAAACTTGGAAAGGATAACATTTTTGAATAGAGAACAAGCATATACTTCCTATTAAAAAAATTGAGGGTTGTACCTGTCACTCGATGGGGGTTGAAGGTAGGGATAGCATTCTCCCGTTGAAGTATGTCAAATTATAATTTAAATTTGACATGTTTCGGGATTTTTTAAAAATATGTACTGTAAGCGAAATAGTGAATTTATTCCATTTGGCTTTTACACACTGTATATCACTTCAATAATAACTCAATACATATCAATGAACAGAACAAATATTAATTAACTTCCTGAACATATCTATACATTCAAATATATCACTTCACCTTTATTTTTCATTGCTACAAAATATCTATGTTCAAATATTCAACCTTCAGGAAGGCTAGATATCAATTATTGAGTTCGATCAAAAACTTGGAGAATATGATTCAAATTTGCTAGTGAACACTTATTTTCGTCTGAAATGAGTTTTTGTTTCAATGTATACGATAATAGTAACAAATGGGTTTGCTAGGTATACCGATTTTTGAACCCAGTGATTCCTCACCTCCCGGAATGAATAGTGGTCATTGGCTAATGATACTTTATCGATTTTTCAGAAGGGTTGGAGCTTCAGGAAAAGTGTTCGTCCAATCATCACCTCTTAGTATAATATTAAAAAAAAATCTAATCAATGTAATCCATTTGAGAATTATTTTATTTCAGCCACCGAAAGATACTAGGAACTGTATGAATCTGAAAGTTTTGGAAAAAGAATGTCAGAAAACTTACTCATTCACAAAGCGTCAATCCAGAACCACAATTCAAAAAAATAGAAGAAGTTTTCCGCACACAAGTAAAATTTTATCATTGATCATCACTGAATTACCATATGTATAAGACAATATTAATATTTATAGTTTATTGTCACTCACCTCTGGACTTCAATTCCTCCCAATCCACCTCTGGTGAAGTCTTTATTGTTATCGAGATATTTCATATTCATGGATGAGTCCAACTATGGTAAACTACTTAGTTTAATAACATTTTCTTGGACTGAACACATTTTCATGCAAACCTCAAACTTCAAATGCTTCGCAATATAATAGTTCCGACGTGGTTTAGACGCTGTACCGTCAATCGCACATATCTCGTGACGTCACATGAGCTGTTGACAATTTTCAGGAAACACTTATTCTCAAGGTCGAGTATCTTGATAACGGTAAACGTTATTGACTTGAAATTTTTGCCATTGTGTTCTGGATGCATGCCATTGTAAAAGCATATAAAGTATGCATTGAATTAGTTTCAAACCTATTATGAAACTGCGTATATGTATCAAAACTTTTTTTTTCGCAAATGAACTTATTTTACTTTCACCTACCAGCACCAGTACACGTACAGAGGGGAACATTTGTTTTCTGCTCAGATTGAGTACGTGAGAGATGGAGGTATTTTGCATCCATATTAAGCATTGACAGGTATAGACACTTACTGGAAGAAAAATCCCTTCTGAAATAACAACTTTCATATAAAAATTGAATAATACGAGAGAAAAAATACTTTCGAAACAACTACTTTCATATGAACATTGAATTATACTCAAAACACTTTTTCATATTCAGTTTGTACTCCAAGCATTCGTTATGGAATTTATTCAGATATCATTCACGGGATTAGTGCACAATAGGGTATATGAAAGAGGTACTAACTACTTCACTTACATTGAACACTGTCATCCTCAATGGCGGACATCGATGTTTCAGCGCCAGTCTAGATAACATTACAAGGTAAAGATTTCAATCCATTCATAAAACTAGGACCTTTTGTCACGAATGACTTGAATCTACTGATGTTATCGATGACACTACGTAATGACATCCATTGGCCCATTTGATTCAATGTCACCAATAAAAATCTTTTTCCAAAGTGAAATTTCAAGGAGAGATTAATTTGTGGGAAGGAAAAGTTTTGGCTTTAGACTTCTCCATCTTTAAACAAAAAATGTGGGAATCATCCAAAGAAACGAAGAAAGCAATTGACTTTAAAATAACCTCTTCACAAAGATATTCAGATTATGCGAAAAAGTAACCTTCACGAACAAACTGGAAGAAAGAGCCCTCTCGAAACAACCACTTTCATATGAACATTGAATTACACGAAAGAAAAAATATTTTCGAAAAAACTACTCGTATATGATTATTGAATTATACAAAAAAACTATTTTTCCTATTCAGTTCGTATTCCAAACACTCGTTATGGAATTGATTCAGATATTATTCACAGGATTGCTACACAATATGGTATATTCCACTTACATGAAACACTGTCATCCTCAATGGCGAGTATCGATATTTCGGAATGAGACACTTGTCATATGTTCTCTTCAGCGCCAATCTGGATAACGTTACAAGAGAAAGCACTCAATCTATTTATGAAATCACGACCTGATGTCACAAATGAGTTAAATCTACTCATGTCATCGATTACAGTTCATAATGACATCCATTCGCTTATTTGATTCAATTTAAGCCATAGGAATCTTGTATAAATTGGAAAGGCTGAATTTTTAGAAGAGATTGATTTTTGGAAAAGAAAGGATGCAACTTTCTCCTTATCCATATTTATGCAAACAATGTGGGAATCGTCCAAAGGAATGTAGGAAACAATTGATTTTAAAATAAACTTTTCACAAAGATGTTTGGATCATGCAAATAAGCAACTTTTGAACACAAACTGAAAGAAAAAGCTGTAAAATTTTTTCATGTGATATTTTCATCACATGTTTTTTGAATACATTGACCCATTACTTAATACGGGTTTGGACGCGTTTTTTCTGTTAGACCAATCCAACTGGGTAAATTACTACTTGTATGGTGAGTGGTCTTTTAGGTCAGATGGTAAGAGTACGGCTCTGCCGAACTCTTACCTGATTCGGTCCTCATCAGCGGGGCAGGCACAAAGTATTTATTCATCGGTTTTCTTGAACACAAAACTCAAAACCCTGTTGTTGTTCCCTTTTAATTTACGAAATATTATATAATTTGTGTAGACAAAAAAATTGCAGTTGATTCATTTGCAAACTATATCTACATTAAAATATAGAAATACTAAATTGTAGGTACCTTCTTATTCTTGAACGAGATTTGATTAGTGACGAGCATTATTTTCATTTACCCGTAAAAAACAGATGAGCCAAAATTAATTATTGAAATAATATCGAATATCGAGTTATTGAATGAGAAAAATATAAGGTTGAAGAAAACACTTCCTCTCTGAAAGTAAGTTGAGAATATACTGTAAGTGGTATTTGATGAAACTGAGTTAAAATCAATTATAAACAATTATTAATTTATTAATTAACACTACCCTAACGCTAGGTAGAAACAAAGTTGTTTTTCATACCACTCAAATTTGGTAGGTGTGACTGAAATTCAACCCATTTCATCACATTCACGACCTCTTCTTTCTTCAATAGTTTATCTCTTTTGTATATTTCATCGACATTAATTTCTTTCAATTGCATCATTTTTGACTTTTCGAACAATATTCTTGAAAGATAGAACAAATACTGAATCTCAATCGAATGGTGAGCGGGACGGGTTTGAAAATACATCGACATTGATATGGTAATGTATTTTCAACAACCTTGATGAAAACAGTAAAACTTATCGTTTTGAGTTCAAATCAGTAGCGTATCGAAAACAGTTTTTTGAATCTTATGTTTAGTGTGATAAATTACACATTGATATAAATGAATATATCATCAATTTATAGAGGCCTACCCTATCAAATCTGTTGAAATCTTTTTTTATGTTAACCAGCTGTTGTCAACCTACGAGCAACAACTCTCGAAGGTCTAAACTTGTGCAATAGGTAAGGATTAAAGATGTCTTACTTTTTAACGTGAGATTTCTAGCACGTACACAGTGACATTCATGATGCTAATACTAAGTTGAAGGACAGTCTTTGCTGACTAGTTAGAAACAAAACTTAGGAACTATCTTTGGGTGATCAGCAGAACGGAAGTGTACTCTTATAACACAAGTTACTCCAATATTTTGATAGGTAGAGCTACGAAAAGTGATATAATAATATAAAATTTGTTACTAAAAGGCTCAACTTACTGTTATTGAGGATGGCCGTGTCGAAAAGAATGTTACATGTAAACAGTTGAAACAACAATAAAATAAAACAAGCCACCACATTAAAAAAGGTTTGACTCCTCAATGATATAAGGAATATTATTTGAATTTACATAATGAAATCGTTATATGGTTTGAAATTATAAAATACTGGTAAAAGCCATGTGGCTGCAGATCACAAAGATATATAAAACAGTTGACACGGACAGCTGTCATGCGATTTAGTTTGAAAAATGGTTTGTTTGTATGTCTATGTTGAACTATGGAACAAAAGAGAACAATTATGGTGCCAGTATGATCAGGGTCATCTGCTGTTTTGTGAGATTATCAATGAGAAAACCCAATGTCAAATACGTGAAAAAGTGTTATTAAAATGAAGTCAAGCCCTTCTATAGAGAGGTTCGAGATTTGTTGCAATTCCAAAATTTGTAATGCTCATTAACCTAACTCCAACTCCATTAACTACTTCAACAGATAAAACAACACAACGATGGACTGCATTCACATACGTAGGTTACCAAACCAAAAAACTAACAAACATCTTCAAACCCCTGAACATCAACATCACATACAAGCCAAACTCGAAAATAACACAAAAAGTAAACAGCTATGACATAGAAGAAGACAAAAACCTATACGGAGTGTATAGTATACAATGCTCGGATTGCAACAAATTCTATATCGGCCAAACCAAGAAAAAACTGATCCAAATGTACGACGAGCACAAAAAAGCATACATAAATCCAATAACATATAAATCAAATTTCGCAACACACACCATATAGAACAAACATAACTTTTCCCCACCAGAGAATATAAAACGCATATAACAAGTCAATAAAGGAAACCGTATGGACATGTGTGAATACTCAAACCTCCATAAATGTAAAAGTCATAATTCACTTATCGAGGAACAAATACAAATCAAACCACAATAAGACCCAACATTCAATATACTACACACGACACTACACATTCCTGAAAACAGTTAACCTAGAGAAAATCCAACACAAAGGATAGTACCTGATGTAGCCCAAATACAGGAAAATTTAAAGAGACA